TTGTGTGCCTGGGGGCCCAGCTACTTGGGAGGCTGAGGTGGGAGGATCGTTTGAGCCCAGGAAGCAGAGGCTACAGTGAACTGCACTCCAGCCTGGGTGATAGAGCAAGACCCTGTCTCAAAAAACAAAACAAACAAACAAAAAACTGATGCAGGATGGACAGGCCCCCAAATTAGGGTTTAGGCTGGGAGGGTTCTTGGCTTTGACCAGGAAAGAATTCAAGGGCAAGCCCTAGGTGTTAGACAGTAGCCTTTTATTGAATGGTACTACTCCCTGCTGAGCGGGATGACTCATTGGCAGTGTGCCCAGAGTTGGCAACCTGTGAACTCTTGGCAACTGCACTTCTACTCTTATAGCCACTTCAATTACATGCAAATTCGGGGGTGGATTAATGCAAATTAAGGAGTGGGTTATTTAAGAAGTTTCCGGGAAAGGGGCAGCGACTTCCAGATCCTTGCCATGGAAAGGTGTGGTAACTTCTGGGTCATTGCCATGGCGTTTGTAAGCTGTCATGGTGCTGGTGGAAGTGTCTTGAGCTAACTAACGAGAGTAAGGGCAGCTAGGATCGCTTTTGCTGCCGTTTTCTGTTTCTGTTCAGTTCCTTCACTTTATTCTGTCTGGACTAGATCCTGTTTTAGTCAGCGGGGCTGTGACCAGAAAACAAGTCTTGTCAATTGCCTACTTTAGGATTAGCGATCTAAGGTATTCAGCTTTTAAAAACCCGGCAAACGGCAATTTGGAGGGTCTCCCACGGCCAGTTTTGTCTTCCTCCAGCCTATTCTCAACATAGCAGCTAGAGGGCTCCCGTGGGCAAGAGACGTCAAAACATCTTATTACTATCATGCCCTGACATAAACTTTTTCTTTTTTCTTTTTCTCTTCTTTTCCCCTCCCTCCCTCCTTTCTCCCTCTCCCTCCTCCATCTCCTTCCTTCCCTTTTTTCCTTCCTTCCTTTTTTCTTTTCTTTCTTTCTCTCTCTCTCTATCGACAGGGTTATGCTCTATCATCTAGGGAGGAGGAGTGCAGTGGCATGACCTCAGCAAACCGTCTGCCTCCCCGGTTCAAGGCATCCTCCTGTCTCAGCCTCCCGAGTAGCTGGGACTACAGGCACGTGCCACCACACCCAGTTAATTTTTGTATTTTTTTGTAAAGACAGGGTTAAACTATGTTCACTATGTTGCCCAGGCTGGTCTCAAACTCCTGAGCTCAAGTAATCCACCTGCCTTGGCCTCCCAAAGTGCTGGGACTATGGGTGTGAGCCGTTGCACCCAGCCCTAAGTTAAAATCTGATTTTGGTGTGCTGCTTCTTCCTCTTTAGGGAGGTTTAGCAAACTGACACAGTGGGGACTGGCTGCCTAAGGACAAAGACAGGGAATTAGCTAGAGTAGCACTTAAACTGCAAGAGAGTGTGGTATAAATCAAAGAAAATGACTAAGGTGAGTCTTAATTATTTTTATTTTTTATTTTTGCCCAGGTTTAGGAATGTCGAGGAAAAAAAAACACAAAACCACAGGAACATCTGTGATCTGTGCTTTTTCCAAAGAGGATCTGGGGACTTCAATATTTAAAGGGGGAAAGGAGTGGGCAACAGGAGGAGGAGGAAAGAAAAAAAGAAGCGCTTTGATCAGCCTTCACTGAATCTACATTTCACATGTGAAAGGAGAGGGTAGAGGAACCATCAATTGTGCAGTGATCTTGCCCTCAGTGAATCTGCATTTTTTTTCTTTTTTTGAGGTGGAGTTTCGCTATGGCTGCCCAGGCTGGAATGCAATCGCATGATCTCGGCTCACTGCAACCTCTGCCTCCCAGGTTCAAGTGATTCTCTGCCTCAGCCTCCTGAATAGCTGGGATTACAGGGACCTGCCACCATGCCTGGGTAATTTTTGTATTTTTAGCAGAGATGGGGTTTCACCCCGTTGGCCAGGCTGGTCTCAAATTCCTGACCTCAGGTGACGCACCCGCCTTGGCCTCCCAAAGTGCTGGGATTACAGGCGTGCACCACTGTGCCAGGCCAGATTTGCATTTTTACATAAAATAAACTAGACATCTGGTAGAGGAAGCAGTCGAAGATGCATTTATCTCAGGTGAGCAGAGGTATGACTTCTGGTCCTGTCTTCGTCCAGTACCTGTGAGGACAAGCTGTTAATTACATTGTCAGGGTGAAACTCAACAGAACTGTTTTAGGGTAAAGATTTTGGGGCCCACAAGGAATTGCCTTGTGGCCAAATTATGAGCAAAGCCTGCTGGGGAGGTGTGTAGCCTTCTCTCTTTGCAGCTATGTATTTAGGAACAAAATTGGAGGCAGTTTGGTGTAACTCCATGCCCAAGCCTGGCTTTTCCCTTTAGCATAGTGAGTTTGGTGTCCCAAGATTTTTTTTTTCTTTTCTCAGTGGGTAGAACTAGAGAACTTTCTAAAAAGAACTTGGTTGGCACATATATACTATGGCCAAACTCCCCAGTCTTTTGGGAGGGGAACAAAGGTTTTCAATAAGTCTCTCCTCCCACCTCCAGTGCCATTTACTGTGTGTCAATTAAGCCTTAGTAAAGGTTTTTTGTTTTTTTTTTTAAAGAAGAAAATATCTGTCTCCCCCTTACCCTCACCATCGTTTACTTTGCTCTATACACCTCTGTATCATTTGAGTCTTTTATAATAAGAAAAGATAGAGCTTATGTATTTTTGAGTAATAAGTAAAATAAGCATGAGAATTTTCCAAAAAACATTTCCCCCCTGGTAGTCACAGGTCCCCATTTACCATACCCTAATGAATCACCCTAATGAGTCCTTCCTCCCTCCCAAGTCCACTGCAGAGTCATTAAGTCAGCCCCTGGGAAGGGAAGGAAAGGGACAGAGAGGACACAGAGTAACGGGGCCCGCTGTAATGAGAGAATCTGTCTCTTTTGGATGCAGACTCACATCCAGTCTGAAGTGTGGAAGCATGATCATGGCTCACTGCAGCCTCAGCCTCCTGAGCTCCTTGTTTTAAGTAAAAAATAAAATTCTAAGCCACAGCCCCCTCCTACCATCCATCTGAATAGACCCCTCCTCTCAGTCAGGGCTTTCGAAAGTTACCCTGAAAAACTGGTATGGGCCATGCCAGGAAGGAAGGGTTGACCTTGCCTCATTATGGCCTCCTCCCTTTTGGATTTTGGGAAAAGCTGACCAGCATGAACATCAACACAGATCGTAAGTCTGATAAACATTTACATTGTATTCTCTCTGAAGTCTGCTACTTGGTGGCTTCATTTTGTGATAAAACTTTGGTTTCCACAATCCCTTATCATCCTAACCCAGACATTCCTTTCTATTGATTCCAGGTCTTTAGGTGATAACTCTTTTAACCAATTGCCGATCAGAAAATCTTTGAATCTAACTATAACCTGGAAGTTTCCTCTATTTTGAGTTGTCTTGCTTTCTGGACTGAAACAATGTACATCTTACATGTATTTGATTGCATCATGTCTTCCTAAAATGTCTAAAACTAGACTGTGCCCTGACCACCTTAGGCACATATTTTCAGGGTGTCCTGAGGGCAGTGTCATGGGCCATGGTCACTCATATTTGGTTCAGAATAAATCTTTTCAAATATTTTAGACTTTGACTCTTTTTGTGGACATAAGTGATCATCCCACTTCAGCCTCCCGAGTAGCTGGGACTATAGGCAAGCACCACCATGCCAGGCTAATTTTTGGATTATATATTTTTGGAGTGATGGGGTCTAACTATGTTGTCCAGGCTGGTCTCAAACTCCTGGGCTCATGGAATTCTCTCGCCTCTGCCTTTCAAAGTGCTGGGATTACAGGTATGAGCCACTGCAGCAGGCCCATAATTGGAGAATTTGGAGTCTGATTTTTCTCATTTGGCCATACCTCCTAGCGTTGGGAAAAGCAGCAAAGGAGAAAGGACTTACAGAGTGCCTACATAAATTGGTTATGAGTAGCACATAAACAAGGCACAACGAACTGTGGAAAGCCTCAGAAGGCCTCTGAGGAGGAAGGCCTCTCTATGCCTCATGTTCTGGTACAGGGTGACATAGGCTCTGTTACCATAAACACTGTGCTCAAGGACGTAAAACCCCTTTGGAGCACTATGACACAGCCAGACTTGTAGGCTCCTTGTAAGATCCATGTTCCATCAGCTGTACATAGATAATAAGCTAAAGATAACCGCATGTTCTTTTATGAAACTCCTAAACTACCAATGTTATCAGTCCTTAGGATGACATACCAGTTTCGACTCACTGATTTATCCACCATCACTCCACCCCTACCCTATAGATCAAAGTGATTGTAATCAATAAATAGCGTGGATGATCAGAGCTCGGGGCCTTCACTGTCTCCTCCAGTAATGAGTGATGGCCCCCGTGTCCCACTTTCTCTCTTAATCTGTCTTTTTCTCATTATTTTGTCACCACTGAACTCGAGGCACCCACAGGTGATGTAGGGCTGGTTCCCTACATCCTAGGACCCCAAAACAGCAGCCTTAAGATTGGGCTGGGAGTGCTCTGGAGGAGGCTAATGCTAGTTACTTCTCCAGCTGGCAGGAGGAGTTGGCATATTAGATTGAAAGGAAAATCAGACTTTAGGTCAAAATATCTAAGTTCTTGCCTTGGCCCTGGCCATAGCTAAATGTAGGAAACTCACTGAAGTTTTCCAGATCTCAAATTCTCTTTCTGGAGAATGGGTGGTTTGGAGAAGATGAATTGTAAAGGCTCTTTCAGCACTAAAATTCCACTTCTATTATTGAAAAACACAAAATCACAGCAGAAATGTTTATTAGTAATGCCTACTGCATACAAAAATCACAGCAGAAATTGTATTAAAAATGTCAAATACATTCATAGTATCTCTGTTCTCCCTTAAATTCCCACCTACACGTCAACTTGTTGAACCCCAACAGTAAGAAGGCTCCCAGTCAAAGATGTCCTCAGAACCAGGTCCAAAGTGCCTTCTTAGGAAAAGTGAATAAATGATGGCAGCAGCAATGGCAGCAGTAGCTGTAACCCCCAAACAGGAATGGGAAGACAGATGGCTCCATTTTCAGTCTTTCGAGATTCAGTATGCAGCTGACGTGGGCACACTTCCCTCACAAACATGGGCCCTACTGCTAAGATTCCGGACATCAGCCTACAGCCAATCATGGCTGTACAGCCTTTGACCTCCACAGATGACTCAATGCCACCTATGGAACAAGGAAGGATGGGGAGAGACAGATGTTTTAGGAAATCAGACGAGAGTCCAGTCCTCCCTCATCCCTGGAGAGCTCAGTGTCAGAATCTCTTGGGAGCCACTCAAATATCTGGTTTTCCAGCCTCTGAAACTATCACATGTTCATTTCAGTTTACCTCCAGTGATCTCAAGTTTTCCTTGATAGCATCGAGTTGTACCATTGGGACAGGGAAGAGAAGGAGCATTGAAACAAGTCCCCAAAGCCACACAGGTTGGGCAATGGAGGGTTGCTGACACAGTGGAAGCTGGAGGGAAACAAAAGAGATGGTTAAGGGCAGGTCCTGTATCCAGAGATGTCGTTCGTTGCTGCCTTCTCTTCCCCAGGTTTTTCCTGCAGACGCCACTCTAATCGAGGCCCTTTACTGCAGCCTCCCCATCCTTCCCCAGCTGGTGTTCTCTGCTCTGAAATCTCCATCTGTCGGACTTCCAAACTCTGTGCTGAGGTGTGAAGATACAGAGATGAAAACAACATAGTTCCTGTCATCTAGCATCTCTAAGAGAAAGACATGTAAGTAATTAATTCAGTAGCTGCTGTGTTCAAGGTATAATGACAGAGGAATGAAGGAATACTGAACTACCTAAAAGAATTTGGTAAATATTTTCAAAGAGCTGATACCTGAGTTGACATGGAGGATGAATAGGGGTTAGCTATGTGAAAATGGGGTCTGCAGGAGTAGTAAAGGAGACAGCAAGGACAAAGGTCAGGTGGTGTGAGCCAGTGTGGTGGATCTGGGGAAATGTGAGAAGTTGCAGGGCTGATATTCAGCTTGTAGGGACAGCTGTTTCCTTGAGCTGTTTTTATTTGTTTGTTTTTTATGGCCGGCATCCATTTTGATTGGCTAGTGCCATCTACATTGTTAAGCATTTTGAGTATTAGCCCCAGTTAGCACACAGTAAATGAGAGAGGGAAGAGAGGGAAATGAAGCTGAAAAGACAGGCAGGGCCAAGTTACTACAGGCCTTGTAAATTTGGGGAACTGGGCTGTTCTCACGCAGCAATGGGAAATCAGTACTTGTTAGACCAGGCATCCCCAAACTTTTTACACAGGGGGCCAGTTCATGGTCCCTCAGACGGTTGGAGGGCCGCCACATGCTGTGCTCCTCTCACTGACCACCAATGAAAGAGGTGCCCCTTCCTGAAGTGCGGCGGGGGGCCGGATAAATGGCCTCAGGGGGCCACATGCGGCCCGCGGGCTGTAGTTTGGGGACGCCTGTGTTAGACTGAAAATACCACCCTACTCAGAAACCTATTGCTTTTTTATTTTATTTATTTATTTGAGACAGAGTCTTGTTCTGTCTCCCAAGCTCGAATGTAGTGATATTGGCTCCCTGAAACCTCTAACTCCTGGGTTCAAGCAATTCTCCTGCCTCAGCCTCCCCAGTAGCTGGGATTGCAGGTGTGTGCCACTATGCTAATTTTTGTACTTTCATGTTGGCTAGGCTGGTCTGGAACTCCTGCTCTCAAATAATCCACCCACCTTGGCCTCCCGAAGTGCTAGGATTACAGGTCTAAGCCACCGCACCCGGCCTGTCTTATTGCTTAATAAACACAAAACCCAATTTACACTCCAGCCTTCACTGGTGTCTCTCTGCTCTAAGTGTTTAGATCCCAAAAAACAATTCAAAAAAAGAAAATTACTTCAACTGTGAGGTACTTTGGGATAGGGGCCACTTAGACTAAGCCAAGTCAGAATTCAAAGAGAGGCCATGCACAAGCTCTTTATGGAGTTTCTCTTAGCACCTATCTCCCTCACTTTCAGGGTACCTGTGGTCCCACTGAAGTCCCACAACTGAGACAGGCTATCTTTGTCGTTACACAAGGAATCCTCGCAGTAGTTACTGTAGGAGATCACGGTCAGGCCAGGAGGTGGAGAGTGCTGGACAACTGTTGTGGCCTCTGCCTCTTCCAGGATGCAGCCCTTCGTGGCCAAAATGGCTGTCTCAGTCCCTGTTGAGACAGGAGGGACAGGAAATGGATAGTGGCCCTCACAATTGGCCTGGGAAAAGGGGACAAGCATTGGCATGGACATAATCACCCTCCCTCTGACCTGGCCCAGCTGTCCTATCTCATTTCACCTGCTTTAATCATTAGTATGGTTTCCTGGCAAAGTGTCTCGCTGTCACAAGTCTCAACTTCCTCTGTGGTCCAGTTAAACATATTGCTTGGATCCGCTTCCAGAGTCATAGACAGACCCTTTTCACAACGCAGCTCTAGGTTCGCTGGGGAGAAAACGAGAAGATAAGCACTCCTCCATGGGCCAAGGCAGCTCCTTTTTCATCATCGATCCACGACTTCTGTGACACGACTGCTCTCCCCGATGTCCCGCATACGCACAGGTCAGGAAGGAGGTTCCTAGGACCAGGAGGATCAGCAAATGCTGGATACCAGGGGTTCCCATGGCTTCTTCCGGAGAGGTTTGGGAAGAGCTGGTCGGAATCTGTGAATGTGATGGAGAGAACGCAACTTGACAGCCAGAGCATGTGAGACCAAATAAATCTAGGTCCTGGCAAGTACTGAATTCAGGGTGGGGTGTTTTCATCTACTTTGTTTTTTTTTTTTTTTTTTTTTTAAAAGCCCGAATCTCATTCTGTTGCCCAGGCTGGAGTGCAGTAGCTCAATCTTGGCTCACTGCCTCTGCCTCCCAGGTTCGAGATTCTCCTGCCTCAGCCTCCCGAGCAGCCAGGATGACAGGTGCCCACCATCACACCCGGCTCATCTTTTGTATTTTTAGTAGAGAAGGGGTTTCACCACGTTGGCCAGGCTGGTCTTGAACTCCTGACCGTAGGTCATCCGCCTGCCTCGGCCCCCCCCCCGAGTCCTGGGATTCTAGGCCTGAGCCACCGTGCCCGGCCTCACAGTGGGGTTTATGGTGTACATGACCAGGACCTCTGAAGTCGATCTGTCCCTAACCAGCTTGTGAGCTGGAGCGAGTCCACAGGTTTATCACGTTTTCATGGTGTTAATCCTCAGGCCCGGCCACCCAGTGCCCTCCGCCTTCAAGGTCAGGGGTGTGGTCCCGAAGGCCGCTTCTCCCTCAGCCTCAGGGGTCCAGGTTCACCCTCACACTCTCTCAGGGACCCAGGATCTCAGGCTCCCAGCCCCAGCCCCATCAGAACCCGGATTCTGAGAGCCCAGCCCCGTCCTAGGCAGGGATCAAGGAGTTTGGGTCCCAACCACCTTTTCCCGCGGGGCGCGCCATTGTGGGATGCTCCCCTCTCTGCCCCGGAAGCCCAGGCCTCTAACCCTTTTTTCCCCCTCAGAGCCAGAATCTCGGTCCCCAGCCTTCTCTTTTCTCAGAATCCAGGAATCTGAGTCCCTAGCTGCCTTTTTCTTTTTAAAGAAGCAAAATTCCCGCCGGCTTCCAAACGACGCCCTCACAAGAACCTGACGACGCGGAAGGCGCGGACTGGAACGCCTCCTCCCCGGGCCGGGCCTTCTCTTACCACGGAAGGCGGGGCCAGCCTGGCCACACAGAACTCGAAACTCCATTGGTGGATGCCAAAGCACTGGGTAAGTTCATTGGATGAGCCTGGAGGAACGTGGCACCTCATTGGCCCCAGAGAAGTCAATTCCTGGCAATCTCGGAGGACGCGCATGCTCAGAAGGCAGGTGGCGGGCAAACTGGCGGGAAAAGCCCGCCTGCTTTTGCAGCCCCAGGTATGCAATGCAGGGTGGGCAGTGCGTTGCCAGGTGGCCTAGTCTGGCCCTTTTCTCTCCTGTCTCTGCTTCTGCAGCCATACTAGGAGGTCAGACCCTTGGCCCTCACCCACACAACTTAGCTCCCTACCCAAATGGCCTCTCACGTTCCCAGCCTGGCCCTTGCCTCGGCACCCAGCTTAGTGGCCCTGGCTGCTGGGAGTCAGCTTGGTCTCTTCGCTTGCAGTGGCCCCTGCGCAGCCCAGCGTTGTCCTCTGATTGTACCATTGCCCCAGCCTCCTCGTGATCGGGCTGAATCCAGGAATGCCCGTTTCAGCATCACTTCGGGCACCCTGAACGCATGCATGAGCAGTAGCTGTGATGGGACAGGCTGCTGTCAGATGGAACCCACGTGTCCGCGTCAGGACCATGAACAAGGCAGGTCACTCGGATTTGTTGCTCATGGCTGACAGTTCTCTTTCACACCTATGTAAGCTTTCTCTCTCTTTCCTTCCTTCCCTCCCACCTCCCCTTCCTCCCTCCCTCCTTCCCTCCTTCCTTCCTTCCTTTCCTCTTTCCTTCCTTTCTCTCTCTCCCTTCCTTCCTTTTTTTCTTTCTCTCCTCTTTCTTTTATCTTTTTCTCTCCTTCCTTCCTTTTCCTTCCTTTATTTCTTTTTCTTTCTCTTTCTCTTTTTCTTCTTTCTTTCACAGTCTCACGCTGGAATGCAGTGGCACGATCTTTGCTCACTGCAACCCCCCGAATCTCAGCTAACTGCAACCTCCCGCTCCCGAGTCCCCGGTTCAAACAATTCTCCTGCCTCAGCCTCCCAAGTAGCTGGGATTACAGGCATGCGGCACCATGCCCAGCTCATTTTTGTATTTTTAGTAGAGATAGTGTTTCACCATGTTGGCCAGGCTGGTCTTGAACTCCTGACCTTGGGTGATCTGCCCACCTCGGCCTCCCAGAGTGCTGAGATTACAGGCATGAGCCACCATTCCCGGCCTCAGTTATTTCTTTATAGTCATGCAAGAATGCCCCAATATACACCCCTTTGAGAAAGGTGGCTCTGTCATTATGGTGCAAGAGAGATGGACAGATCTTCCTTAGCCTGAGCCAATCTCTGTTCTTCCCAGAGCTTCAGTGCCCTTATCTAGAAAATGAGGAGATTAGTCCAGAGCAATGGTTGGCAAATAATTTATGAAAATCCATGGAACATTTGTAAAAAAGAAAAAAACCCAATGGCTAAATTATGGTGGAGGCATCTTTTTAGATAAGCACTGTGACACCACCATTGTTCACTGGATTACTGCATTATGCTCTGCCCTGGCCCATGTGGCTATCCCCACCTGGCACCGGAACGATCTCTTAACTGTAAGCCACACCACATCACTCCTGTTTAAAACTTTCTAATGGGCCAGTCACAGTGGCTTAGGTCTGTAATCCCAGCACTTTGGGAGGCTGAGGTGGGTGGATCACCTGAGGTCAGGAGTTGGAGTTTGAGACCAGCCTAGCCAACGTGGTGAAACCCTGTCTCTACTAAAATTGCAAAAAATTAGCTGGGCATGGTGGTGTGCCCCTGTAATCCCAGCTACTTGGGAGGCTGAGGCAGGAGAATCACTTGAACCTGGGAGGTGGAGGCTACATTGAGCCCAGATTGCACCACTGCACTCCAGCCTGGGTGACAGAGCAAGACTGTGTTTCAAAAAAAAAAAAAAAAAAAAAAAAAGAAAGAAAGAAAGAAAAGAAAACCTTCCAATGGATTCTCATTTTACCCCAAGTAAGGTTCTAGGCCAGGTGCCATGGCTCATGCCTGTAATTCCAACACTTTGGGAGGCTGAGGTGGGAGGATCGCTTGAGCCCAAGAGGTAGAGGTTGCAGTGAGCTGAGATCACGCCACTGCACTCCAGCTCTTGCTCTGGTGTGTCAGTGTGCATGTGTGCATGGGCATGCGTGTGTCTGGTTCCTTCCAGCTGTGCTGATCCATCTCTGTGTACAGAGAGACCTCTGGTCATCTGCCCACTTTGGCCTCCCAAAGTGCTGGGATTACAGGCGTCAGCCGCCACAACTGGCCTTTCTTTGTGTTTTCAATGTATGTACTGCAAGTATTTTCTCTCGGTTTGTGACTTGTGTTTTTGCTAGTAAGAAAATAGTATATTTTAAAAGAAGTTTTTCATTTTAAAAAAATCCCCCCAAATCAGATTTTTTTTCTTTTATAATTTATGTTTTTTTGTGTCCAATCTAAAAATCTTTGTCTACCCTAAGGTCAACAAAGTTTTTTTCCCCATGTATTTTTCTAAAAGACATATAGTTTTTGTATTTACATTTAGGTTTATGATCCATTTTGTGTTAGTTTTTTCCAATAGTGTGAGGTAAGATTGAAGTTCATTTTCCCCCGTTAGATGCCTTTATTATGACAATATAAAGCATTTAGGCATAACCTTAACAAGAAGTTCATAAAACATATATAAGAAAACTTTTAAAACACTCATAAAGGACAAAAAAGTCATCTTCAAAAGATGAAGAGGCATATCCAGTTTCTTTTCTATCATTTTATTATGAAAATTTCAAAACATTGAAAGAAAAGAAAAAAATGGGCCAGCATGGTGGTTCACACCTGTAATCCCAGCACTTTGGGAGGCTGAGGTGGTTGGATCACCTAAGGTCAGGAGTTGGAGACCAGCCTGGCCAACATGGCAAAACTCCATCTCTACTTTTTAAAATGTATTTCAGAGTGAGTTGCAGAATTTAGTACCTGTAAGCCCTAAATACTCCAGCATTTATGCCATTAACCAGAGTTTAATATTTGTTTATATTTTAGGTGAAATTTACATGAAGTAAAAAGCACAAAGTTGGACTGTACCATTTGATGAGTTTTAGTTTTTTGCTATTTTTTAAAGCATGTGATAGAATGAGAAGGTACATTTGATGAGTTTTGGAGGTACATTTGATGGGTGCATACACTCACACAACTCCTTCCAAGACATGCAGCATTCCCATTGCTGCAGTGAGTTCCTTCCCAGCCATTCCTCAAGCCCAGTCCCACCTCCAGACGCAAACATTTTGCTGCGCAAAAGAAAGCTTACCCGAAAGTGTCTACATTGTGTCAATTCCTCAACAGACAACGCTGATTTATGTGTACTGCTTTTTTATGCAGTTTGACCAATCTGTACCTGTAAATTGAAATTTTGCCCTGTTAACATTGTTAGGTCTAAAGCTGCCTCCCTACTACTTTAAATTTGGTCTAAAGGTTTCTCCATACATAGTGAACTATAACCTAACCTGATGTGTAAACAGTCTGTAACCTACTATTGTAAAAATAGCTGAGTCTCAGCCAATCACAGGCAGCCAACTAACTTCAAACCTGGTTCAAATAAGGCAAGCACCCAGCTGTTAGCAGTCTAGATATTATTGTGCCTACCTTAGTTTTTTCTACATCACTTTCTTCTGTGGTAGATGTTATTCAACCATTTATGGACAGATGGAGCACTCTGAAGTTTCTCTGAACCTATTCTTGTTCTGGAAGCTACCCGATTAATGCATTATTCAATTAACCTGCGTTAATTTTTTTTTTCTTTTTTTTTAAAAGATGGGGTTTCTCCATGATGACCAGGCTGGTCTTGAACTCCTGACCTCAGGTGATCCACCCACCTCAGCCTCCCAAAGTGCTAGGATTACAGGCGTGAGCCACTGTGCCTGGCAACCTGCATTAAATTTAATGTGTCTGAAGTTTTTCCTTTAATCAGCCCATTAATCTAATTATTAATTTGACTGAATGTAGATCTACCCTTTAACTTTTGTGAGATGGAAGTAGAATCAGGTCACAGTATCAGGTAGCACCAGGCCTCCAGGTGTTCACAAGAATTCCCAGGTACCCAGGGGTGTGATCAGGCCACAGTGTCGGATGGCAGCATCCGTGCTTGAGAAGTTTCCCATGAGACCTCAGGGAGCCCAGGAAGATGCTCCATAGTCCAGGGATCTTTGGGATGGGAAGAGTCCAGTCTGACTCGCTGTGAGGCCTTGCTGAAGCTGCTTTCCCCGATAGTGCAGCCCTCCCAGGATCCAGGGCTGGAGCGACCTCTGTCTGCACAGATCTCTCCACATAAAAAAAAAAACCAAAAAAACAAAAAAACAAAAAACAAAAAACAAACAAAAAAAACCACTAAAGTCTCTGGTTCAGGCCCTTCTGGGAGAAGGCACTTCTCACGGCGGGTGTCAGGGCGGGATGTGGCCCTCGTTCTGGAGGGTGGTGTGGCTCCAGAACGCACACGGATCACTGAAACCCCGGTACCTCCAACTCGCGTTTTTTTTTTTGTTCTTTTTTTTTTAGAGGAGGAGGGGTGTAAGGGCAGTGCCCAGGCGGACCCTCCTCACCTCCCCCACCTCTCGGCCCACGGCCCAGATGGCCACACGCGCAGCTGCCGCCACCGCTACCTTCTGGCTTATGGCCACCCCTCGAATAGGGGCAGCAGGGCCACCTCCGAGGTGCCTTGGCCGTTCACTCCCCGAACCCGGATCCAGCCCCGGGTAGAGCCCGGGCAGAGCGGAGAGAGGAGAAGACCTGGCTGGCTCCCAGGCGGGACGTTCCGGGGGCGACCCTCACCGCCCCTCCACCCCCGGAGCGGGCACGTTCCTTGCCGCCCTCGGAGAGCCCAGGGGGCGCTGCGGGCTCGGGCAGGCTCGCGGGAGAGACGGCGCCTCTTCCCAAACCAGAGGCCCGGGTGAGCGAATGGGGCCGCGGGTCGAGGACCCCCGGGATTGAGGAGGGAAGGCTGGCTCTGCGCTCACGCTGCGAGGCGGTCACACGCCTGTGTGGAGGGCTGACTTTCAATCCGTCCCATCCAGGGAGCTGCTCTGCTGCAGAGAAATCTCGGACCCAGAGGCCGCTCCTCTAGGGATGGTTTAGGACAGGTTCCCCACGAATGGGCCTTGCGTGAAGGGCGAGGGGCCGGCCGCCCTTCCTACTGGCCGTCTCCCAAGACAGTGAGCTCTCCGCACGGGGCCCCAGCCCTGCTGCACTGCGTCCTGCTGGCCGGGCCTGCGGGGACCGGCTATCCCAGGCCAGCCGAGGCTCCATGGCGCTGCCCTGTAGTTCTGCCTGGGTGGGATTCTGACTTAGAGGCGTGAGCCACAGCCCCGGCCCCACCTCAGGTTTTCTGAGTGGCTGAACAACCCAACCTTGGTGAATTCTGTCTTCCAATGATACGAAGAGCCCACATCCAAGGATGAAAAGGCTTAAAAAGCCACCGGGCATGGTGGCTCAGACCTGGGGTCCTATTTACTTTGGAGTCTGAGGCGGGAGGATCACTTGAGGACGGGAGGTTGAGGCTGCAGTGAGCTATGGTCACACCACTGCACTCCAGCCTGGCCACAGAGTGAGACTCTGTCAAAACGAAACGAACAAACAAACAAACAAAAAACCTGGATTTTTATGAATGCTTTCCTGTTACAAATCAGTTATTTCTGACACCTGTTTAAAATGCAAAAGGTCAGAAGGATCTTAACCCTGCTTTCACAGTCTGAATTCCTGCTGCAAATCAAGACCAAGGAGCTTTCCTATTACATGGAATATCGTTTCCCTTCCTTTTATGCTCAATAATTCTGTATCTTTCTAATATTTTATTTTTTGAGATGGAGTCTTGCTCTGTTGCCCAAGCTGCAGTGCAGTGGCACAGTCTCAGCTCACTGCAACCTCCACCTCAAGCAGTTCTCCTCCCGAGTAGCTGGCATTACAGGTGCCTGCCACCATGCCCGGCTAATTTTTGTGTTTTTAGTAGAGACGAGGTTTCAGCCTGTTGGCCAGGCTGGTCTCAAACTCCTGACCTCAAGTGATCCACCTGCCTCGGCTTCCCAAAATGCTGAGATTACAGGCATGAACCACTGTGCTCAACCTCCTTCCATTTTAGATGTCTTTTTTTTTTAAAAGAAATTATAGCATGCATGATTCACTTATCAAAGTCTAAAGTCAATTTATATATATATATATATATATATATATATATATATATTTCATTCCTTCTCTCTCTGTGTGTGTATACACATACATACACACGTGTATCGATTCATAGAGAAAAAATTTTTAAAAATCATTCAAGCAAATATGGCAAAATGTTAACAATTGGTGAATCTTGGTGAAAGATATAAGGGTGTTGATTGTACAATTCTTCCACCTTTTTCATGGGCTTGAAAAGTTTCAAATAAAAGGTTGGAAAGGAAAAAACAAATTGTAGTAGATTATATATTAAAATGCTACCCCTTTCCGAAGAGGGGTGAAATGCTAATACATAAACATATTTGCCTACACTTTTGAAAGAAGCAGTGGAAGAATAAACCAAAAAACCAAACTTACTCACCTACAGGAGGAGGGGACTGAGAAGGAATGTAAGCTATTAAGCCTTTTGCTTCATAGTTGACTGAGTAACCAGGTGAATATTTTACATCATTAAAAACAAAATAAAGCCGGGCATGGTGACTCATGCCTGTAATCCCAGCATTTTGGGAGGCTCAGGTGGGTAGATCATTTAGGTCGGGAGTTTGAGACCAGCCTGACCAACATCTCTACTAGAAAATACCAAAAATATATATATACATAACTGGGCATGGTGGCATGTGCATTTGCGTGCATGTAATCTCAGCTTACCAGAATCTAAAGTCAATTTAAACCTTTGCCTTTTTCCTGAATAATAAAATGACCTTAGATTTACTTAGTTTCCCTGACTGCCTACTCTCCCTGAATTACATACTAACTAAACTTGCAGGGAATTTTTAGTGTATCTTGGTGTAATCCCACTAGACATCATTAGCATTATTTATACCAAGTACATTTACATTTGTACGCGTATTTCCCACTTTCTTTGCTCTTCATGACTTTTTGCATCCCATACCTTCTATCTGGGATCAGTTTTCTCCTTTCTGAAATATATATTTCAGTGGGAATTGGCTGAAACATATTTTGTTGGGAGGCTGAAGCAGGAGAATCGCTTGAACCCGGGAAGCGGAGGTTGCAGTGAGCACAGATCGTGCCACTGCACTGAAGCCTGGGCGACAGAGTCAGACTCTGTCTCAAAAAAAAAAAAAAAAAAAAAAATGTAAAACATAAGAGCGAAGTCATTTCTAAAAGTGAAAGCTAAACTGGTGGAAATGACTCTGGGTGGAAAGTTAGTTGTGTAGTAACACAGGGGAAAATTATTTCCAGCTACTTTACCTGTGTACAATGACCGGACAACTCTAGTGAGATAGACCCTGCTGATTGAAAGAAATGAAAGGAATCTTAACTGAATTCAGTACTGTTATTCTTGCTGCGAACAGTTGCATGATTATTTCAAAACAAATAGCAAATAAATAATTATGCATCAGGGCCAGAGAAAAAGAGATAGAAATATGAAACCAATGCATTTAAATTAAAACCCAAGAATCTTTCATTTGCATGGGAAATACTAGCGTGAACTCAGGAAAAGCATTTCTTTTTCTAAAGAATGTGTTTTTCTAGCTGTATATGTTAACAGTAGCAAACAGCACCCATAGTGTTTGAATTATAGTTTCTAAAAATACCATTTCCCATGAAAATGAAACTTCTTCAAGACTCCTTAGAGATGTGCCTGCTTTCAGATTTGAAGTAAGAATTATGTAAGATGAGCCTGGGATATTTGCTGTACCAAAGCAGGGAATTATCATATACTACAAGGGGCATGTCAAAAGGCCATAGGAGGCTGGGGTTGGTGGCTCACGTCTGTAATCCCAGCACTTTGGGAGGCCAAGGTGGATCACCTGAGGTAAGGAGTTTGAGACCAGCTTGGCCAACATGGTGAAACCCTGTCTCTACTAAAAGTACAAAAATTTGCTGGGCATGGGGGCTTGTACCTGTAATCCCAGCTACTCAGGAGGCTGAAGCAGGAGAATTGCTTGAACCTGGGAGGTGGATGTTGCAGTGAGCCAAGATTACACCATTGCACTCCAGCCTGGGCAACAAGATCGAAACTCCGTCTCAAAAAACCAAAACAAAACAAAAACCTGTTGCTGTTTTTTAAGCCCTTAAGCTGTGGGGTAATTTGCTAGGCAGCAATGATAACGAATGCAGCTTTCATCACATCTTCCAGGAAACTTCTCATCCTGCTCTCTCAGCACAAAACTCTTCCTCTATTTGGTTCCGTCTAAACCTCTGTTCATCCTTCAAGATTCACCTGGAAGAGTGTTTCCCAAAATAGGTTTCAGATGTCAGTGGTGTAGGGTACGTGAGATGATTCTAAGGGATTACACATGACAGTTGTCGAAAAGGGTTGCATGCTATGTTTAAGTGCCTATTACAGTAAAAGAATTGGAAATAGCATATTAATCCCATGATGGGATAAACATTATTGTTTTAAGATAAGGCTGGCTGGGTACGGTGACTCACGCCTGTAATCCCAGCACTTTGGGAGGCCCAGGTGGGCAGATCATAAGGTCAGGAGTTCCAGAGCAGCCTGACCAACATGGCAAAACCCCATCTCTACTAAAAAAAAAATACAAAAATTAGCCGGGTGTGGTGGCACGCACCTGTAATCCTAGCTACTCAGGAGGCTGAGGCAGCAGAATCGCTTGAACTTGGGAGGTGGAGATCATGCCAATGCACTCCAGCCTGGGCAACAGAGTGAGACTCTGTCTTGAAAAAAAAAAAAAAAAAAAAAAAAAAAAAGATAAGGCTAAAGACAAATAGTGAACCATTTTAAGGAAAAATTTTGAGTAAATAGTAGTGCAAGGGATACCAGATAATTGTAAAAGTGGAACGTGACTAAAATTTGGAAGTGTGATGAGGAATAGCAGCAATTCCTCTAGGAAACCTTCCCTGCCACCCTGGGTAGGCCAGTTCGCCCCTCATTTAGACCCCCAAATATCTCTCCACCTGGAATCTGTTAGGGTCCAATCTCTTGATGACTGAAGCCTGTGAGGCTGTGGTCTCTGCATCCGACCTGAGCTCTAAGGCTGCATGGCAGGCCCTGCAGAAGGGAAGATGGACGGAAAGTGGGGAGTAAGAGCAAGCTGGGACCCCCATACGAGGTGGAGGTTTTCAGGACCCACAAAACCTGCCTCTGTTCTTGCCGCTTCATCTTGATGGAGCAGGGAACCTGCAGGAGTGACCTTTATCATAGAGGTCAACGCACACCTGGTTCAGGAAGGTGAAGAAGCTGAAGGAGGATTGAGGTGAAGGGAGAGGTTTCAGGCTCTGCTGCTGCTCCAGGCTGACCAGCAGAACTAGAAGATTAGCAACATTTGGACAAGAGCCACGGAGGCTCCTGCCTGGATTTCCCCAGCATGAAATGCACAATGGTGGCTGCTTTGAGCAGGTATGTCCCGCTCCCACCCTAAGATGAACTCTACAGGGAAGGGAGTTCTGAGAGGTGATGCTCAGCCTAGCTGAGTTCCCAGTCACCACACCCTCTTACGGGCCTGAGCACTCTGCCCTGTCTGTGCCCTTCCTGGGAATGGATGTCTGCCCCGTCTGTGCCCTTCCTGAGAGCATGGATGGGTCTCATTCACTTTGGGGTCTCAGTATCATTCAGCATAGGGCTTGGCACAGAGCGGGGGCTCAGGGGTGCCCAAAGAGTTAATGAATGGTTCTTAATGAGACTCTACATTTAAATAAGAAACCTACCCAGCCACATCATAGGTTTCTCTTAACTCTGCCTGGGTGGAGGAAGATGGGCTCATCAGTGGCCTGAAAGGGATCAAGTTAAGTACCCCAAAATTCACCACGTTGGCATAAGGATTATTTTGAGCTTAAGGCCATTGAGAATCAACAGATAAGGGAAAAGCTAGGCCCTCCTTTTATCTAACTAAAAGCAGAGAGCATGTATTTGCTTTTGTGAAGGTGTTTTCTACCCAGAAGATAAAGAAAAGCAGCTCATGCTGGAGACTGAGGCGAGTGTGCACAGACAGACCTCAATACCAGGACCTGCGTCTCCATCAATTTCCCAGGTATTTCCAGGTCACTTTTCTATGAGGGTCACTTTTCCCTTGAAGAGCAAACCCCTTTCCTTTGTTAAAATGGTACATAAGCCGGGCACGGTGGCTCACACTTGTAATCCCAGTACTTTGGGAGGCCGAGATGGGCGGATCACTTGAGGTCAGGTGTTCGAGAACAGCCTGACCAACATGGTGAAACCCTGTCTCTACTAAAAATACAAAAATTAGCCAGGCGTGGTGGTGTGTGCCTGTAATCCCAGCTGCTCAGGAGGCTGAGGCAGGGGGATTGCTTGAACCTGGGAGGCGGAGGTTGCACTGAGTCTCACCATTGCACTCCAGTTTGGTTGGCAGATCAAGACTCCATCTCAAAAAAAAGAATCCACAAGCCTGGGCCCTCTCTTGTCTCACCCTAGTCCTTTCCTGCGTCTCTCTACGGCTCGCTTTCTGCTGCTCTGGCTCTGGCTGTCTGAGTTCTCCTCTCTCCGCGCCTCTCTCCTCCCTCCATCTCTGTGTTAGTGTCTCTGCCTGCTCTGCTCTCTGCAGATCTTCAGATCCTGCAGACCTCCCCCTCATACTCCTCTCTGCTGCGTTTCCTGTATCTCCGTTGTCTGGCTCCCATTTGGGTCATGTTTTCATTTCTCTCTGCCTCTCTTTCTCCTTTTTCTTAACCCTTGTCTTCCCCTTTGTACCTTTCTGAGTCCCACCAGTAGAATTTAAACAGCTCTTCAAGTAGGTTTTTTTGTTGGCAGAAATTGACTTTAGATACTCCGTGAATAATGTAGAAGTTAAATGTGTATAAGCAGGTTCATGTCTCTGCAAATAGACAAAATCTACATTCCAATGCTTTCTTCTTCCGGAGTAGCCCACATATTTGATTCTTCTTCTTTTTTTTTTTTAAGTTACCGTCACTTGCAATAGATTTTTAAATCTTGTAACCTGGTTACACAAATACCATGGTGCAAAAGCCTTGCTTCCTGTAACAGGAAATCAGGTTGGACTAGCCTCATGCTGACTTTGAAGAAGTAATATCAGGGGCTGATAAATTTGCATAAGGGTAAACATCAGAGGTTGAAAGTAAACAATAGGTAGAGGGAATACCTACAAATCATAAAATAACAAACTGTTTCAGTGACAATAGAATGATTGTAGAAATGAACCACAGTCCCACTAAAATATTTCACTTAGAAATTATTTTTCTCAGTATGAGCATTTTTAAGAAATTAATGAGTGTAAGAGCATCTGTGTTTTAAATCCAGTGGATTTTTTTTTCAGTAGGCAAATATAGTGTTACAATTTATTTTCTATTTTCATTTCAACTTCTACCTTTTTCACTGGGGAGCAGACAATAAAATGGCAATGACTTTTCATTATAAAAATTATGCAGTAATTTTTATATTTTAATGCAAGCTAACTTTTCATTATAAAAATTATTGTATTTTTCCACTGGACCTGCTATGATGTTACTAAATCCATATACTCTCTAGGGCAAGGTAGTTTAAATAGATAAGTGGATTATACTTTCCCCGGCCTTTTCCCCCGCCACCCCAAATCCAGTGTATTATTTTATGCAGCCTTTTGCAAGCTCCAAAAGATTCAGAGTGTAGACCTGGAGGTTGTAGAGGAAGTCTGCGCCGCCTCCTGCAGGTAGCTCTTTTCATTTGGAAAGCAGCTCTTGGCTTAGCCCTGCGCCTAGTGCTGTCTGAATGCCTGACCACAGGACAGCAAGGGCCTTGGGACCTGAATGGCACATCATGTCCTGGTGATGTCTGAGCTACTAGCTGACCTGGGGCGTGCACAGCAGCCTCCAGCACCCCAGGGTGAGCTGTGTATGGGGTCAGGTTCAAGCAGGTCCCAGGACGCCAGTGACCCAGTAGGTGGCTCAGGCTCCCATGGCACCTGCTCCTTCTGCCTCTCCCTCCACCACATATACAAGCTCATGGGAAACGCTGTGACCTCTTATAGAGGAGGAAAGTGCATGGACTTGCAGCCTTTAGAACTGTGATAAAATAAGCTTCTGTTGTTTGTCTACTCCTCTGTGGTATTTTGTCATGGCTGCCCTAGCAAACTGCAACAGGGGCTGTGGGGGTTAGGATAACACCGAGCACCAGATGCCACTCTCTGCTCCAACGCTGAGACCATTCCACAGCCCCGAATGACAAGGTGGACCTTCAAACTCCAGACTGCCTGGCTAGGTAGGAGCCACTTTATACACACACTTCTGAACTTTCTCGTGTACCTGCAGGGAAATAATTTTTTTTTTTTTTTTTTTTTTTTACCATTTTCAAATGAGGACACTGAAGCTCAGAGAAGTGATGGGTTCATTCATGAACAGAGCCTCCTTCTGTTGCCCATGCTGGAGTGTAGTGGTGCCGTCAAGCTTACTGCAGCCTCAACCTCTTGGGCTGAACTTCTGGGTAGGAGGTGATATATCTCAGTCCTCAGACCAACTCTGAAGTAGCAAGGTTGTAGTCTAAAGAGTCAGTCTTGGGCCAGGCATGGTGGCTCACACCTATAATCTCAGCACTTTGGGAAGCTGAGGCGGGTGGATCACTTGAGGTCAGGAGTTCAAGATCAGCTTGGGCAACATGGCAAAAGCCTGTCTCTACCAAAAATAAAAAAAAAAATTAGTGAGGTGTGGTGGCTTGTGCCTCTAATCCCATTTGGAAGGCTGAGGCACGAGAATGGGTTGAACCCAGGAGGTGGAGGTTGCAGTGAGCTATCCCACCATTGCCTTCCAGCCTGGGTGAAACTTCATCTCAAAAAAAAAAAAAAAAAATTACAGATGCACGAATAGTCAAAAGGGTTGACTATGGGGCCTCATGACTGTATATTACTGGGCTTCCGACCTAGACTGAAAGATCAGGGAAGACTTTCCTGAAGAGAAAGTGAGCTGTGATGGGCCCACTGTACTCCAGCCTGGGCAACGCAGTGAGGCTCTGTCTCAAGGAAAACATACGGAATAAAACCACAATAGGATACCACCACAGAACTGTTAGAAGGGCTAAGACTGAAAAGAGTGACCACACCAAGTGTTGGCAAGGATGTGGAGGCACTGGAAAACTCACGCTGCTGGGGAACGTAAAATGGTACAACCACTATGGAAAGCAGTCTGGCAGCTGCTCAGAAGTTAAGCATACACCCAGCAAGCCTCTCAGCAATTCCATTCCATCCCACATTATTTTTGTTTAAAAGACAGTCAAGTGGAATGATCTTGAAAGCACTTTTGCCTGACAAATAGATGAAAGGTGGGTAGCAGCCCAACACTTCCCCGTCAGTCTTACCAGGGTTCATGTGGCCTTGTGGCACCCAGGAAATAAGTCTCTTTCCACAAGTGCTAAGTCTACTCTCTCCACCAACCCTAAACTATCAGTCACAGAGCATTGCCAGTATTGGGCTTTGTCTATTTCTTTCTTTCTTTTTATTTTTTGAGAGGGAATCATGTTCTGTCATCCAGGATGAAGTGCAGCAGTGCAGTCTTGGCCTACTGCAACCTCCACCTCCCAGGCTCACGAGATCATTTCGCCTCAGCCTCCAGAGTAACTGGGACTACAGGCGTGCACCACCATGCCTGGCTAATTTTTTGTATTTTTGGTAGAGATGGGGTTTCTCCATATTGCCCAGGCTGGTCTCAAACTCCTGAGCTCAAGCGATCTGCCTGCCTCGGCCTCCCAGAGTGTTGGAATGTCAGGCGTGAGCCACTGCTCCTGGCTTGGGCTTTATCTATTACGATTTTCTTTTCCTGTGTGGTGAAGAGATTGAAAACCACACCTTATGCTGCAGGAAGAGATGGAAGGCTAGAAAAAGGAAGTAAATTGTTCAGATCATGACGAAACTATAGCAGGTTGAGAGTATCAGCCTCTTTACTCAAAGCCCACAATTTCCAAATATCACAGCTTCCTTCTCTTTACATACTTTAGGGATTTTCTTTTTTTATCTTTTCTTTTTCTTTGTTTTTTTGTTTGTTTGTTTGTTTTGTTTTGTTTTGCCAAAATGGAACTCCAGGTCAAAGGACTTTGATGATCTGGTGTCAGATTGGCTTCCAAGGTGTTCATCTAATCTGTGGTGCCACCGGCACTCAAGGATATGGGTGCACAGCAATGCCAGCCTCGTATTTCAATCTTTTTACTCATTTTTGCTCCTCTGGTCAGTACACAAAGGCCTATAAAAATCTTTTATTTTTGAGATGTAGTCTCACTGTATTGCCCAGACTGGAGTACAATGGCACAATCTTGGCTTACTGCAACCTCCGCCTCCCGGGTTCAAGCCATTCTCCTGCCTCAGCCTCCCAAGCAGCTGGGACCATAGGCATGCACCACCACGCCCAGCTAATTTTTGTATTTTTAGTAGAGACAGGGTTTCACCAACTTGGTCAGGCTGGTCTCAAACTCCTGACCTCAAGTGATTCATCCGCCTTTGCCTCCCAAAGTACTGGGATTACAGGCTGGAGCCACCGCTCCCGGCAAGAAAAACACTTTCTAGCTGCGTGTGCTAAAAATGCTAGCAGCTATATTAGATACATCATCAAATTAAATGTTCATAGTTAATGTAATAGGTGGCTGTTTCTCGCTTGCCTCATGACATTTTATTTCATGGAGTATGGGTTGGGGGAAGGCATACTGTAGTTTCCTCAGACATCTGGGGACTATGGCTTCCGTGCTCACTGTAGGAGACTGGTCAAGGCGGTAGGAGAAACTGTAGGGAAAGGAGCAGGTTTTCTGAAAGGTGGAGTTGGGAATGGTGGTCTCTGACTAGGAAGTCACCACCTAGCAACTGAACATCGTCCCTATACCCTGGAAGGGGAGCACAGGTCTTTCTTTGCTGGGCAGGTATTTCTACCACACTGTGTGGTCTTAGGCAGCTGTTGAGCTCCTCTGGGGCTCAGTTTCTTCACCAATAAAATTGGGCAATGAATGGGATCTCTCTTTCTCAAAGAACTAAAAATAGACCTATGATTTGATCCAGCAATCCCACTACTGGAAATATACCCAAAGGCAAAGAGATTGTTTTATCAAAAGATAGCTGCACTTACATGTTTATCACAGCACTATCCACAATGGCAAAGCCATGGGATCCACCGAAATATGCACTGGCAGACTGGATAAAGAAAACGTGGTACACGTGCACCACAGAATCCTATGCAGCCATAAAAATCAAATCAAATCATGGTTTTTTGCAGCAACATGGATGCAGCTGGAGGTCATAATCCTAAGTGAATTAATACAGAAACAGAAAATCAACACTATATGTTTCACTTTCAAGTGGGAGCTAAAGCTTAGATACTCACTGACATAAAAATGGGAATAATAGATACAGGGAACTCCCAAAGGCAGGAGGGAAGCAGAAGGCAAGAGCTGAAAACCTACTGTTGGGTGCTATGCTCATTATTTGAGTTTTGAGTTCAATGGAGGCCCAAACCCCAGCGTGATGCAGTATACCCATGCAATAAACCTGCGAATGGACCCCCACACCGAAGCCATAATTTAAAAACATAGAATACATTTTAAAAATAGGCTCTCTCTCGTTGTTGTGGCCATGCCTGAATGAGTGCTCAGACAATGGCCTGAAGCAGAGTCAGGGCTCATAGTGATCACCGTGTTTATGGTTTGCTGAGAACCTGCTTTGGGTGGTACAAGGCTCTTAATCCTTACTACAAACCATCAGGGGCAGGTAACCATGGTGCCGGTTAACAGAACACAAGGAAGTTCAGAGAGGAGAGTGAATGGCCAAAGTCCACACAGAAGTGTTGAGCTTCTGAGCTCAAGCATCCACCCACCTCGGCTCCATCCATGTTCCTACCAAGGACATGATCTCATTCCTTTTATGGCTGCGTAGTATTTCATGGCATATATGTACCACATTCTCTTTATCCAGTCTGCCATTGATGGGCATTTCAGTTGATTCCATGTCTTTGCTATTGTGCATAGTGCTGCAATGAACATACACGTTCATGTGTTTTTATAATAGAATGAGTTATATTTATTTGGGTATATACCCAGTAATGGGATTGCTGGGTCGAGTAGTAATTCTGTTTTTAGGTCTTTGAGGAATCATCACACTGTCTTCCACAATGGATGAACTAATTTACACTCCCACCAGCAGTGTCTAATAGTTCCCTTTTCTCTGCAATCTTGCCAGCATGAGTTCCTTTTTAACTTTTTATTTATTTATTTATTTGAGACAGAGTCTCACTCTGTCACCCAGGCTGGAGTGCAGTGGTGCAATCTCGGCTCACTGCAACCTCCACCTCCCAGGTTCAAGCAATTCTGCTTCAGCCTCTCAAGTAGCTGGGATTACAGGAGCCTACCACCACACCTGGCTATTTTTTTTGTTTTTGTTTTTGTTTTTTAGTAGAGAGAGGGTTTCACCATGTTGGCCAGTTTGGTTTCGAACTTGACTTTTTAATAATAGTCATTCTGACTGGTGTTAGGCTGTATTTCATTGTGGGTTTGATATGTATTTCTGTAATGATCAGTGATGTTGAGCTTTTTTTCACATGATTTTTGGCCACATGTATGTGAAAGTGACACATTTAATTGAGTACCTATGACCCTGTTTGCCCACCTTTCCCTTCCCTCTTCCATCAAGGACACTGCTTCAAGTTACGCACAATTCCAGGGTACCATTCACACTGTGACAACATGAATTGCTGGGGAGGGGGCAAGATTTCTACAGTGCACAACCTGTACAAATGGAGTGAGGGCTCTGCTGTTGTCTTCCCCTTTTCATTCATTCATTCATTCATTCAAGAAATATTTATTGAGGTTGGGACTTGGTGGCTCATGCCTATACTTCCAGCACTTTGAGGGCCAAGGGTGGAGGATAACAGAAGCCCAGGAGTTCAAGACTAGCCTGGGCAACATAGTGAGACCCTGTCTCTACAAAAAATACAAAAATTAGCCAGGCATGATGGTGTGTACCTGTAGTTCCAGTTACTTGGGAGGCTGAGGTGGGAGGATTGCTTGAGTCCAGGAGATGGAGGCTGTAGTGAGCTGCAGTGAACTATGATTGCACCACTGCACTCCAGCCTAGGTGACAGAGTGAGACTCTGTTTCTAAAAAAAAAAAAATTCTCTGCCTTGTAGGTGATGGAGACATAGCAGGAGATGAGACAAACACGTCCCTGCCTGTGTGGCAAATATTAAACTTGCAAACACAAATAAAGACAAAATGTATAGATAGGTCAGAAATAAGCATATAATTGCAAGTCACATTCATTTCTCTTTCTCTGCTATTCCTGCTCTTGCCTTCCCTCTTCTGTTTCTCCTCTCTCCGTCACAGACACCTCCCCGCAACTTCCCTCTGCGGTCACTGACAGATACCCCTGATTCCTTCCTGTCTTCCTCCTCTCCAGTGTGTTAGAGATGATTTGTACAGGTCTGGAAAGGCCAATGGTTTCATAGCTAGGGATTTTATCAACCCTGATGGTAACCTGTTGCTTAAAATTAGACATGCTGTGAGTATTTGAGTATTTACACCACAGAAATAGGCAACACTATGAGGTGGGCTTTTTTTTTTTTTTTTTTTTTTTTTTTTTTGAGATGGAGTGCAGTGGCATGATCTTGGCTCACAGCAACCACCACCTCCCGGGTTCAAGTGATTCTCCTACCTCAGCCTCCCGAGTAGCTGGGACTACAGGCATGCGCCACCACACCCAGCTAATTTTTGTATTTTTAGTAGAGATGGGGTTTTACCATGTTGGCCAGGCTGGTCTCAATTCCTTGACCTCATGTTCCTCCCAAAGTGCTGGGATTACAGGCTTCAGCCACCATACCCAGCCACAAAATTTGTTTTTTGAGCATACCTCTGCCCTTCCACATCCACTTCCAGCAAATACAATTCGCATTTTCCAAATACACCATAACTCTTTCATAGACACTCAGTCTCCACTCCGCCTCCGACTAAGTCTTTCCTGGTGGTAGGGAATTGGGGACTTGGGTCCTATGTTGTACTGTGAGAGTAGAGAATAGAAGAGACAGCATGAGAGAAAGGCATGAAACAGGGAATCAAAAGAAAAGCAATATAGGAAGGAAAGAGAAAGAACAGAGAAGTCAGAAGCCAGCAGAGGGTAGAAACTAGGCAGGAAGACATGGGGACAAGCCGATGCCCTCTGCACAACGTCCCCACAAATGGGGTTGAGCCATTTCCCCAGCTGGGGTACAGGGGTGGCCAGGGAGCCCATGAGAAATCAGGAAACTGCCTTCCCAAACTACTGCAGAAACTGGGTGGGGGTGGGAATCCACATAACTGGGCTCAGGAGGAAAGAGGGCTGGGAGTCTGAACCAGGAGGGCCCTAGGGTCAAGATTCCACAGTTTCTAACTGTGGAGGACCTGGAGGCCTGGACTCCTGGGTCTAAGGAAGGAGGGGCTGGGGCCTCTGGGCTCCTGGGTCTGAGGGAGGAGGGGCTGGGGGCCCGGATGCCTGGGTCTGAGGGAGGAGGGGCTGGGGGCCTGGACCCGAGGTTCTGAAGAAGAAAGGGGCTCTCTGATAGGCCACTGGGTCAGTTGAGACTCAGGGTGGGGCCCAGGCTTCCATTTAAAAGGTCCTCCCCTCTCCCCCTTTCCTGGGCTGGCTACTTAAGAGCTGGTATAAAGGACTTGTTTCCTGGTGAAAAAGCAAGAAGACGGTGCCGGCCACAGACGAGTCATGAGTCCGGTCTTCCTGCTGGTCCTTGTGGGGGTTACCTTCCCACTGCCAGGTGAGTGATGACCCTAGCCTGGAGGGGACTTTCCTGGAGGCTACGCACGGGAACCCGCAACCGTGCCGAGATGGATTTGCTCTCTCCACTCCAGGAGTGCAGGCGCTGGTCTGCCAGCTGGGGACGATTGAGCGTGTTTGGAATGTATCCGACCTGCCCCTGCGTTGGACCCCTAAGGAGACCATCTGCCCCAGCGGCTGGGGGTGCCAGGACACGCTGGTGTTGATAGAGAGCGGTGAGGAGGCCCCGCCCTGCCCGCTCAGCCCCTCGAAACCTGTGCTGGGACTCGGGAGCCACCTCCCCGGGAGGAGCGACTCCTCGGGTCCCGGTGATCCCTTTCCAGCCTCTCAGCCTACGCCACGTTGCAGCGTCTCCCTCCAGGACCCCGGAGGCCTGACCTCCATCCTCGCTTGCTTCCCTCTCTCGGTCCAGGACCCCACGTGAACATGGTGCTCTCCAAGGGCTGCACTCAGGCCGGGGACCAGGAGCCCCGCGTTACGGAGCACCGGATGGGCCCCGGCCTCTCCGTGATCTCCTACACCCACGTGTGCCGCCAGGATGACCACTGCAACGACCTGGTCACCTCTGCCCCGCTCTGGGCCCCACCGCCGCCAGCAGGTACCTGCGGGAGGACAGGGAGGGGCTGCCAGGAGGGGGTCGGCTGAGCACAGAGGGCCGGTTATAGAGTCCCTCCCGCTCCGGGCTCGTTCCAGGCCTCCGCTGACTGCTCCCTGGCCGCCACCCTACACCTCGCCTTCCTCTCCATTCCTCCCCACTCCCTCCTGATCCTTCCACCCACCTGTTCCACCCAGGACTCCTCGCACCCCTCCTCTGCTAAGAGCAAACAGGTGATTTCTGATTTGAAGTCACCATTAACTGGGTCATCCTGGCTGCTGCTTTTTTTCTTCTTGTATTCTGTTGTGTTTGGTTCAACAAGATCTCATATAGGTTTCTTGCATTTCCTCTTCCTAAGGGAGATTGACCTGTAACTTTATAGTTTCCTTGGCTGGTGTTCTAAAGAGTCTGGGTAGATGTTTTGCGCTTCTTTTATTGGAACGGCTTGTGAACTCAGAAGTTTCCTGTTCTTAGAGGTTTAGCGGCTCTTAGAGGTGAAGCCACTGGCTCGTTCCAGGGTACTCACTGGCTCCACGACCAAAGTCTGCTTCTGTGTCTCCCCTCAGAAGGCCAGATTTGTTGAAAGGTTCAGGCTTGACCATGTCTGAGTCTCGGTCTGGCCTCAGCAGGCCCCCTCCTCCACCCTGCCTACCCCACTTGCCCCCCAAGGCCTCCCCCCAACCTTTTTTTTTTTTTTGAGGCAGAGTCTGGCTCTGTCACCCAGGCTGGAATGCAGTGGTGCAATCTCAGCTCACTGCAACCTCTGCCTCTTGGGTTCAAGTGATTCTCCTGCCTCAGCCTCCCGAGTAGCTGGGACTACAGGCATGTGCCACCACACCCCACTAATTTTTTTCGTATTTTTAGTAGAGACAGGGTTTCACCATGTTGGCCGGGCTGGTCTTAAACCCCAGACCTTGTGATCTGCCTGCCTTGGCCTCCCAAAGTGCTGGGATTATAGGCATGAGCCACCAAGCCCAGCCGCCCTCCAAGACCGCTTTCTGTACCCAGCCCCAGGTGCCTTATCCAGACCTCCTGTTCTCTCTCCCCTCCTCTTTCATGGGTTACACTTCTTTATTTTCCCACAGCCAGATCCCATGAGGGGAGCAGCAGAAAGGCCCTTTGGGAAGACCAAGCAGGTTGACTCTTGAGGCCAGCAAAAGTGGGTGCAGAGAAGGTATCTGATCACATCCGGGGCCCCCTCAGTGCCCCCTCACTCTGTCTGTCACTTCCCCAGACCCAGGGTCCTTGAGGTGCCCAGTCTGCTTGTCTCCAGAAGTCTGTCTGGAGAGTACAGAAGAGATCTGCCCCAGAGGAAGCACAGACTGCTATGATGGACTCCTCAGGTTCACGGGAGGTAAGCCTGGCACATCAGGGCCCTGCAGGGACTGAGATCTTAGTCTCTGGGGAGCAAGGGTGAGCTGAGGCATGGCATGAGACCCAGAGGAGGGTGAGCCTGGCTTCCTGGAGCTATGCCTGCCTCTGAGGGTTGGGTGGTCCTCAGGACAGCATCAGAGACTCTCCCTCTCTCCCAACTTTCTGCAGGGGGCATCTCCTCCAATCTGAGAGTCCAGGGATGCATGACCCAGCCAGGCTGCAACCTGCTCAATGGGACCCGGGAAGTTGGGCCCGTGAGTATGACTGAGACCTGCGGTCCCATGCAGCATCAAGAGCCACAGCACCAAAGCCCGGAGAGAGGTGAGGGTGCAGGGCGGACTGCTTGCACATGGCTTTAGGCAACAGTGAGTGCTGGGGCCCCTGCTGGCTCTCATGCTGCTGGGGATGCTGGGCTCCTTCCGTTTCTGTGTCTCCACACTCCTGGCCTTGGGTAACCCTAGGTCTCCCACTTCCCTAGGCCACCCTAGCCTCTCCAACACTCTCAGCAACCCCGCTCCCACCTGTGGTGCTGGAGTGCCCAGGCAGCCTTGCCTGCACAGGAGAGAACATCAGAGAGAAAATCAAGGGTGCTTCAGTTGTGACAGAGAAAGCAAGAGTTAAACGAGGACACTGAGAGGGTCCCCGCTTACCCATTTAGCTGCTTCCCTGGAAGAGAGTGCCAGGGAATTTCTCCATAAGAAGGGCTCCAAGGTGGCCAGGTGCGGTGGTCACGCCTGTAATCCCAGCACTTTGGGAGGCTGAGGTAGGCGGATCACAAGGTCAGGAGTTGGAGACTAACCTGACCAACATAGTGAAACTCTGTCTCTACTAAAAATACAAAAATTAGCCAGGCGTAGTGGCGTGTGCCTGTAATCCCACCTACTCAGGAGGCTGAGGCAGGAGAATCGCTTGAACCCGGGAGGCGGAGGTTGCAGTGAGCCAAGATCGCACCATTGCACTCCAGCCTGGGCAACAAGAGTGAAACTCTGTCTCAGAAAAAAAAAAAAGAAAAGAAGGAAGTGCTCCAAGGCAACGGGAAGCCAGGGTGGGGAAGCGGAGTTCTTACAGGAATCACAGCTTCCCTCCTAAAAGCAAAGTCTCCCCTGCCCGCGCCTCGGTGTCCTTGTCTGCCCACACCACGCTAGAGTTGTGTGAGTTCTGCACACCTTTCTCTGTGCATTTGCTCTTTCTCTCTGGCTAGGCTGGGAGCCCGAGGCCAGGGGCTTGGTGTTTCTGGCACCAGGGTTTCCAGCCTGGGGTAGCTCAGGGGCCAGCTCAGGAAGGGTACCAGGAGGTGTTTGCTCAAGTGAGGGCACGCAGCGCTCCCATGGAGTTCCCCAGTGAGTCAGACCCTGTCTTTACCTGAAGGGCCTCTGGGACCAGGAGGGGGAGGTGCCACAGACACAGATGGTCACAGCTTGAGGTGATCAGGGCTGTGGCAAATGGGTATGTGGGGCCTGGAGCAGCTCAGAGGAGGAAGATGCTGATGTCATGGGGGATAGAGAGTTAAGGAGGGCTTCACAGAGGAGGTGGCCTGTGAACTGTGTGTTAAAGATGACCTGCAGTTCATTGATAGAAGAGGAAGAGGACATTGGTGGCAGAGGAAACAGTGTGTAGCATCTGCAGAGGACTGGAGGTGGCAGTGAGCCTGCTGTTTTCAAGAAGAGTCCCTCACTCCACCTGAGAAGGACTCATCGACACAAGGGGGTACAGCTGGGATTGGGGGTGATTAGAATTTTTCCAGGTGGACAGAGTGGGTATAGGGGTTAAAGAGAGAGCTGATCCAAGCCAAAGGAACAGCAGGTGTGAAACCGAGGAGGAAAGGGCCTGGTGTGCCTTTGGAATGGATACTAGTGGGGGAGGGGGAGGTAAGTGGGGAACCTGATGGTCGCTCAAGTACCTGAAAAGCCAGGCTGAGGGGTGGACCCTCTCCTGAAGGCTGGGAGCCATGGAAGATTGTGGAGCAGGGAAAAGCAGGGTCTGAGACATGTTCCTTTCCTTTCGACTGATGCTGGTGTTAGGGTCTGGCCCTGCTCTCTGGGATCAGGTGACACTGATAATCCAGAAGTTACTTCAGAAACAAATCAGACACAACACATGCCACACACACAGCCCATCATAAGCACAGCAGACACCAGTGCATCATCACACCATGCCACATACACACCACACATCACACACCACACACGCTCCCCATGTCCCTGACGTACCACACATGGAATACAATTTGCACACAAAGCACACAACACACTTAACACACACAAATGCATCACACAATTGCACAATTACTACATGTACATGTAGTGTGTATGCCACGTCCACACTATATGCCAGGCACCACACATACGTACTCCCCGTCAATATATCTCACATGCAATAACATACACACAACCCAATCCACACAACACACATGGCATGCCACACACACCACACGCAAACAAAACACAAATACAGAGAACACACACCATGCCAAACACACAAATGTTGGACATACATGCTTGGTGCCACAAAGAAAAATTTGCACTGAGACAAAGCATCTTTTAGCAACGCAATTTTTACTTTCTGGACTGCAGGAAGGGTACCCTTGCTGGTCATTATACCATGAGAGTACAATGAACAAAGGAAAACACACAGATTTAACCCTTATGCATTCGGGGTGGTCCTTACTGCCGTGTCTGACCTATACTGGCTGGAGCCAGACCTCACCATCTAAACTAAAACCCATTGGCTAACAACTTAAAACATTCTAAACAGGTAAAAGCAATGGAGAGCTGGGACATGCCTGTGAGCACATCCAGCACAGATATCTTGGTTAAAGTACAAGAATACAGAATGTACTACGTGCCTGTAAGCATGGCATGTCTAACAGCTACATAGGGCTTAACAAAGAATTAGCACACTTATTCTTTAACCAGAAAGGAAACCTTAAAAAGGAACTTTTCTACTTCCCACACAACAAACACATACCACATACATCACACACGGTATGTCTGCACATGCACACGCCACACACACCATGAACACACCACACACTCCATACAACCACATCCCTCACACATATGCTACACACTCATACCACACACCCCTGTACACATCATGCATGTACCCCCACCCCCCATGCACACACACTACACAAACACACACACCCCACATGAAACACAGCTATTATGCCACAAATCAATGCTCTTAATAGAGCTCCCTATTTATTCTGCTTTCAACACCAGAGCCAGATGTTGGAGGCTGCTTTGCCTTCCCTGGTGAAATGCAGTCCAGCAGTTTAGCAGACACAAGACCAGGCATCAGACACTAGGGGAATAACAAGATGTTGGGGACCAAGTGCGGGAGAGGAGAGGCTCTGGGGTGATGGAACTGCATATGAGAAGCACAGAAGTGGGAGGGCTGGGTGCAGGGACACAGGTCACTCAAAGGGCCATGGCAGCAGCCCCTTGTGAAGAACCAAGGGTCCCCAGGATGCATAAGGCCTTGGCTTCCCCTAGAGGCGATGGGCAGGGGTCCCAGTGAGAGAGCAGAGCAGAGTCCCTGTCTGAATCAGGGACACGTGGGTCCCAGGCCCCACTCAGCCGCTGAAACCACTTTCCAGCCTCAGCTTTGCCTGAGGATCCCAAGTCTCCACATCTCATGGAGCCTCTTTCCCTGGATTTGGGGAAGAGGAAGGGATGGTTGCAGACACCGGGTGGAAGCAGATGCAAAGGCCCTGAGGCGGCTGGGTGCCTGCCAGAAGCGTGTGTGCAGAGCATCGTGGTGGAGAGAGTGGAGCTGGACACCTGTGCAGAGTGGGGAGGCAGCTGCATCTCATCAGGCCTCCCAGGCCATTGGAAGGGCTTAGAATTGTATTCTCCAGAATGGGGACCTCCTGGAGTCTTTGGAGCAGAGGAGTCACAGGAACTGACCTAGGTTTACCTAGCCTCCCTCTGCCTGCTGGGTGGAGAAGGGAGCGAGAGGAAGAGTGGCGGGCGGGCACAGGGAGAGCCTCAGGAGGTCGGTGTGGCCGAGGGGGCTTGGCCCCGATGGAAGCAGAGGAGGTGGTGACATGGGGTTGGGTTCTGAAGATTTTATGTCCCTCAAGCCAGCAAGATTTCCTGAGGGACACAATGGGAAGGAACCAGAGTGGTCAAAGACAACACCAGTGTTTTCAGGAAGACCAGCACAAATCAAGGTGGTGGGTGATGAGGCGGGGAGAGAAGGGTGGGAGAAGGGAGCAGGAGCTGTGATTCTGGTTTCGTCATCCATGAAGTATGCAAATGAGCAGCCCTCCTGGGCAATATCTTCTCTGCAGTTCGAACGTGCTGGTAGAAGCTGGGGGCTCAGTCTAGGAGTTCCTGCGTCATGGGACCCATCCCCGCTGCTCTGTGATGGCCATGAGGGAAGGTGGGGGCCACACACTAGAGCCCTGAGGGCCTCCGGGCCAAGGTAGGCCGAGGGTGGTCATCAGTACATCTCCCTCCTGCCCTCAACACTGACCATGAGGGTCCAGAGTCCCTGGGTTCCCAGCCCACCTCTGCCACTCACAAGCTGTGTGGTATGGGCAACTACTGAGCAACGCTGCCTCTGTTTCCCTTGTTGCAAATGAGGGTGCCGTTGTGATCACACCACCTACTGTGGGGGTACTGTAGGGAAATGAGGCATCCCAGATGAGCTGAGCTCCCTGGGACCTTAGATAGGTGGGTCTGTGGGAAGCAATGACGTCAGCCAGGCGCAGAGGCAGTGCTCAGCCCACCTGGGCATCTGCATCTTTTGTTTGGACCATAGAGTTTTGCAGCTGAAAGAGATGAGAAAGGTTTCAGGTTCTGAACTTACTATTGCAATGAGGACCTTAAAGCTCAAATGGGGAAGCAGAGATGGGCAGAGGAAAAGGAAGAGCTTCCATGGCTCTCACACCTGAAGCCAGGAATGGCCATTCCCACAGGTGGGAGAGGACGTCCCTGCAGGTGTTCAAGCAGAAGCAGGGGGAACAATGCAGGTGGGGTTTGGACTCCCAAGTCCCTTCTGAATCTGTGCTTGAGGAACTCCGTGGTCAGGTCACCTGGAGTGTGACTCAACAGCATGGTCATCTTCCCCAGCCCAGGACCTGGATGACAGACATGGTGGATTCCTGGCTTACACAGACCCTGGTTTTCCTCTCCCCAGATTTTCTGATCTGCTATCGGGGCCTCACCATCCAGGCGAGGGAGAACTTGAGCCAAGTACCCACTGAATGGACCGCAGCTACCACGGAGACTTGTGAGGCTGGGCAGGTGTGCCAGGAGACGCTGCTGCTGGTAGATGTAGGTGCGTAGCCTGATGTAGAAGATGAACAACTGTCCCAAGTCCCCAGCAGCTCCCTCTACCCCGCTGGATCCTTTCCCCGGAATTTCCTGCTCAGCTCTCTTCACATCTGCTCTTGTTACCCAGGCTGGAGTGCAATGGCACGATCTCAGCTCACTGCAACCTCCGCCTCCCAGGTTCAAGCGATGCCTCAGCCTCCCGAGTAGCTAGGATTACAGGAATGCACCACCACAGCTGGCTAATTTTGTATTTTTAGTAGAGATAAGGTTTTGCCCTATTGGTCAGTCTGGTCTCCATCTCCTGACCTCGTGATCCACCCACCTCAGCCTCCCAAAGTGTTGGGATTACAGGCGTGAGCCACTGCCCCTGGCTCACATCTGCAATTTTCAATCCAACTCTTTTTCTCTCTGCATCTTGGGTTCCTCTTATGAAAAGTGGGCGTGAAGCAATGACAATGACAGTGTCTACCTTTCTGGGTAGGGGTGACGATGTATGCAGTAATCCCTGCCCAGGGCAGAGAACTGTGCTGGCACTAAGGAATCTCAGTGGCTTCATACATTCCGGAGATGTTTATCCAGCACTTGCTGCAGGCGCTGCAGATCCAATGCCATCTGTATTCCTACAGCTTTATATGCCTTGAGAAACGGGAAACAGACAAACAAAAAGGAGCGAAGTGTGGGGATGTGGATCCAAGCTCCGGAGAGAAGTCTGGCAAGGAAAGGGAGATAGGAAAAGGGAGGTGAAGGCTGCAATTTTTTTTTTTTTTTGAGACGCAGTCTCACCCTGTCACCCAGGATGGAGTTCTTTCACATGATCTTGGCTCACTGCAACCTCCACTTTCAGGTTTCAAAGGATTCTCCTGATTCAGCTTCTCGAGTAGTTGGGATTACAGGCGTGTGCCACCACACCTGGTTAAGTTTAGTAATTTTAGTAGAGATGGGGTTTCACCATGTTGGCCAGGCTGGTCTTGAACTCCTGACCTCATGATCCGCTTGCCTCAGCTTCCTAAAGTGCTGGGATTACAGGCATGAGTCACTGCACTCAGCCTGAGGGCGGCCATTTTAAAATGAGTGCTCAGGAGAGACTCACGGAGAAGGTGACATTTGGGAGAGAACTGGGCAGAGGCAGAGCTTTGGGGAGGGCCTAGGCCCCAGCCTCCATCTTTGCCCCGTGCTAAATATGACCCATGCAGTTGTGAACAGGGTATCTGCATTCACCCTCTGCTGGGGAGGTATTGTGGAGGGCAGGGAGTCCAGCTCCAGAGCCCCTGCTGCCCCGGGAGCCACTGGGTCCCCCAGCCCAGGTTTCCCTCTCACCCTCAGGACTCACATCAACCCTGGTGGGGAGCAAACGCTGCAGCACTGCTGGGGCTAAGGATTCCCAGAAGACCTCCATCCACTCACGCCGTCCTGGGGTGCTCGTGGCCTCCTATTCCCACTTCTGCACCTCCAACCTGTGCAATGGAGCCGACAGCAGCAGCGTCCTGCTGAACTCTCTCCCTCCTCAAGGTATGGCATCCAGGGCCGTGGGGAGGCAAGGCCCAGACGCGCAGACACTCGGGCCCAAGGTGGGTGGCTGCTCTGAGTGCAGACAGGCACTCCCACCTTCCCTCTGCTCCCCAGCTGCCCCTGTCCCAGGAGACCGGCAGTGTCCTACCTGTGTACAGTCCTTGGGAACCTGCTCATCTCACTCCCCCAAAATGACCTGCCCTAGGGGCGCTGATCATTGTTACGATGGGTACATTCGTCTCTCAGGAGGTCAGTGCTGCAAGTGGCGCCACAGGGATGAAGGCACTGGGGGCTCTGGGCTCCTGGGTCTGAGGGAGGAGGGGCTGGGGGCCTGGACTCCTGGGTCTGAGGGAGGAGGGGCTGGGGGCCTGGGGGCCTGGACTCCTGGGTCTGAGGGAGGAGGGGCTGGGGGCCTGGGGGCCTGGGCTCCTGGGTCTGAGGGAGGAGGGGCTGGGGGCCTGGGGGCCTGGGCTCCTGGGTCTGAGGGAGGAGGGGCTGAGCCTGGACTCCTGGGTTTATGAATTTGGCTGGGCTGTAGTTTGTGTCGTTTCTGACTTGGTCTTCTCCCTCTAGGTGGGTTGACCACTACAATGAGCATTCAGGGCTGTGTGGCCCAACCTTTCGGCTCCTTGTTGAACCACATCAGGCAAATCGGGGTCTTCTCTGTGCGTGAGAAGATCGATGAGCAGTTTCCTATCAATAAGCCCCAGGAAGGTGGGGCGGGGGCCCTGGAGTCTCTCACATGGGGGCTGGGGCTGGCACTGGCCCTGGCGCTGTGGTGGGGGACGCTTTGTCCTTCCTGCTAACTTCATTTTCCCTACGATTCTTCACCCCGCTGACCACCATACCCAACCGTCCTTCTGACCTCATACCCTCATGGCCTTGGACACCAAATTATTTTCCCAGCCTGTCCATGGATTATCTTCCCCCCACACAACCATTCACGTCTGCTCACCTAATAAAGACCCTGGGGAGGACCCGGAGCAGCTGGACTTGCCCTATGGGAGAGGGGAGTGGCTGTGTGTATCTGTTAATAAAGACCCTGTCCTTCTCCCAGTGCTGGGATCTCTCCATGTGAGGGACAGCAAGACACCCAATGATCTAGCATGGGGGAGGAGAGGAACCTGATGAGAAAACCACCATTCAAGGCCTGTTCTTTATTGGTCTGGTTCACGTCTCTAAACCAGCTTGGATGGTAGCAGAGCCTTCAGGGTGCTCCAGCCAAGTGTATTTGGACATCACCATGACCAGGGAGGGCAGGATACCCGGAGAGGGGCCCTGCCACAAGCAGGGGGCTCACCCCATCTGAGCAGCTGCAGGAGAGGTTAGTGCAGTCGTGCCTTGCTTCACAATGGGGATGTGTTGTGAGAAATGTGTCGTCAGGTGATTTATCGCCATAGGGACATCATAAGGCGCACTTACGCAAACCCGGATGGTACTGCCATGTAACCCAAATCTTGATTCTTATGGGGAGTGAGTCTTGGATGGTCTTAGAGTCCAGGGAAGGCCATTTGGAACCCTCAGTGTGTACGTATCCCTGTGAGGACAAAGCTCAGTCCCCTCCAGGGTGGGGCGTGTCCTGTGTGGCCAGCCTGCCTGCAGTGGCTGCACAGTCCTGCTGCAAAATGACGCCTTCCAGGGGCTTAGTCCCAGGATCTGCCTACCCCGGGCAGGGCTGGGTACAGGTCAGTCCTGGGAGACTCGGCTCACCTGTGGTAAGGTCCATGGCCGCCCTCCCTGTCCATGTGGCCATCTGCACCTGGATGCCCTGAATAAACACTGAGGGACAGAGGCTGCCTGACACTGTCCACCAAACACCAAGAAACTCATCGTCACAGGACTTGCTCTGAGCTTAAGGGTGGGGACGGCAAAGCTCACACCTTGTGCCCATCCCCAGAGGAGCACCTGTGTCTACCCCTGCCTCAATTTTACTTATATTCTCTTCAAGTCCTTGACTATGTCGCCCACTCTGGGTTCATTCAGTGGACCCAAGTCCATCCCTCATTGCAGAAACCCTGAGGTTCTGCCCTCCTGAAGGATTTCCCTATATCACTCCTCAGGGCCACCTGAAATGGGCACTAGGGCAGCTACTGTCTATTTCTGCCGGATGCCAGCTCACCATGAGGACCCATCCATAAGCCTGGTCTGCCCTTTCCTCCTCTGTACAAGGTCACAGCATTTCCCAGGAGCTCACAGATGTGGTAGAGAAAGGGGCAGGAGGAGAGCTGCCCTGGGAGCCACGGGAGCCTGAGACACTTGCTGGCCTTGGATCTGCTCAATCCTGACGCCATACTCAGCAGCTCCGTGGATGCTGGAGGCTGCTCTGCATGCCCCAGGTTATAGTTTGATAGCTCAGCACCAGGACCTGAACTTGATTGCACTGGACCCAGATAGAAGCCAAGAGCTGCTTTCCAAATGAAGTTACCTGCAGGAGGAGGCGTGGAATTTCTCTAGAACCTGCATTTCTGCACTGTGAATCTTTTGGAGCTTGTGAAAAGCTCCATAAAATAATGCACTGGATTTGAAACATACATGCTCTTACATTGTTAATTTCTAAGTATACTCGTCCAGGAGATACTGAGAATCATATTTTGCAATTTCAACTGGAGTAATTTACTGGGAAGCACTGTGGTTCATTTCTTTTTCTTTTCTTTCTCTTTTTTGAGACAGTCTCACTGTGTCACCCAGGTTGGAATGCAGTGGCACCATCTCAGCTCAATGCAACCTCTGCCTCTTGGGTTCAAGCAATTCTTCTGCCTCAGCCTCCCAAGTAGCTGGGATTACAGGCACCTGCCACCTTGACTGGCTATTTTTTGTGTGTGTTTTTGGTAGAGATGGGGTTTTGCCATGCTGGCCAGGCTGGTCTCAAGCTCCTGACCTCAAATAGTCTGCCTGCCTTGGCCTCCCAAAGTGCTGGGATTTCAGGCGTGAGCCTGTGGTTCATTTCTATTATAACTCTATTGTGGTTTAAATGGCTCGTTCCTTCATAATTTGTGGTTATTCCCTCTATCGCCTATTGCTTACTTTCTACCTCTTTGATATTTACTGCATACAAATTTATCAATCCCTGATTTTACTTCCTCAAAGCCAGCATGGGGATTAGTCAAGTCTGATTTCCTCTTACAGGAAGAAAGGTTTTTGCTCCATCATAATTGTGTAACCAGGTTACAAGCTTTTAAAAATCAATGGTAAGTAACTGGTGGAGGGTGGGGGGAGCAAACCTGGGCTACTCTGGATGAAGAAAGCATTGGAATGCAGAATTTATTTATTTACAGAGACATGAGCCAGTTTACACTCATTTAATTTCCAAATTATTCACGTGGGGTCCTAAGTCCATTTCTGCCAACAAAAAACCAACTTGAAAAGCTGTTTAAATTCTACTCGTGGGACTCAGAAAGGTACAGACGGGAAGGCAGGGGTTAAGAAAAAGAGGAGAAAAGAGAAAGAGAGGCAGAGAGCAATGAAGATGTGACCCAAATGGGAGCCAGACAACGGAGTGGAGAAAAAGTGCAGAGAGGGACAGAGCGAGACGGGGAGGTCTGCAGGTCTGAAGACCTGCCTCTCTTCTCCGGACGCTGACCCTGTTGTCTGATCGCAGACACAGACTGAGCTTTCACTGTGACCACATGCTCCTCAGGGTGACACGGTGGGGCCGCCTGCCCCCGCCAGCCTTCCACAGCCCCTCTGCATGGACCCTGACCAGCACCCTACGCATGCTCGGAGGCCTCTTATTGCGGTTAATGACTTCCTTGAGCTTCCATTCCGTCCACAGCCTCCTCCTTCTAGGTCAAACATCTTCAACGGTCTGGATAGGTTTCTTTGCTTCCATTTGTCACCTTCTACTCACTCGTCTACATCCACTTCCCTCTTCCCCTTTCTCGAACATTGCTCTTACTGTCATCAACGTCTTCCTTTATTGCTAAACCTGTCAGGAACTCTCAGGTTCATTTGACACTGAAATCCACTTCTTTTCCTGGAATAACCTCTGTGAGGTAAATACAAATTTTAAAAAATGTTTTTAGGCCTGGTACAAAAAGGGAAAGAGATCCTTTTCTTTCACGGCATTTTATATTTTATTCATTCATTCATTCATTCATTCATTCATTCATCATTCATTGTCAGAGTCCGCCTCTGTAGCCTTGAACTCCTGGGCTCAAGCAATCCTCTCCTCTCACCCTCCCAAGTAGCTGGGACCACAGGCGTATACCATAACACCTCGGTGATTTATTATTTTTTTTATGGAGATGGGATTTTTCTTTAATGCCTAAGCTGGACTTTGTGAGCATTTGTTTTGTTTTTTTTAGAAGAGGTGTGATCAAGAATCCTTTCTCTGCCCATGGAGATGTACGTTAGGCTTTCTAAAGCCTACTAAGCCTCGTACCTGCTGTACACCCCAGAACTGTTCTCCTCAAGGCTCCGGGAGCCCTCTCTTTGAAAGGCAGGTATCGGGGCAGAGAGCACCCTGTCTCCCAGTTTCTGTGTGAAGAAAGGAACCTCACTTCTGGAGGCATCTCATTCCCAGTTGCAAAACGACCTCCTGTCATAGATAAGAGAGGTTTGTTTCTCCGGTGGATAAAGCCAGTTAACTACACAGAGAATCAACCCAGTTGCCAGGTGAATTTAGGATGGACTGCATGTGACAGATTGTGCTGTCACGTCCTCTCACCTGGGGACGAGTCATTATCTCGAGACCTTGTGTGTAACGGGTGGCGCCTGCGTGGCTGGATACAAGGGTGGGATTTCTTTCTGTCTCGGTAATCTCTTAGCAGACTGCATCACATTCTGGCTTAATGCTTATTCAATAACAAGACAGGTTTCTTTTACTTCTGCATATGTGAGGGGGGTTTCTGGGCTGAGCAGAAACTTTGTTTTTTAATTCTATTTTTCCAACACCCTCCCACCCAAGCTACTCCAGCTTCTCTGAAGCTGCTTCCCCCAGGCTTTAAAGGAGGCTGCTCCCTGGGGTCCCTCCCGGTCCTGCCTCTCCTGGTTCATCTGATCTCCCAGCCCTGTGGCATCGTAGCTCCCTCCCTTCCATGCGCTGACGCCTCTCGGATCTCAACTCTAGGCAGGAGCTTCTCAGTTCCTCAGCTCACACACACACCTTGGCACGGGCGTCTGCACGGGGACGTCCCACCGGGAACTCCTGGTGGAACACGGTGCATGTTCTCTGGCTGTCCTGCAATTTTCAAACACCACTGGTACATGTGGGGAATGTTCTGCCTTCCCAGGGAGGAAGCCAGAAAGTTCGTTTTCCTGGCACTCCTTGCAGGAGGGACACCGACAGGGGCCCAGGCTTTCCCTGTCAGCTGCTCCCGTGAAAGACTCAGGATCCCGGGCAGCACCAGGAAGCAGAGGGCGCCTGGTGCCAATTTGATTTTGGTTTTGTTTTTATTGTTTTGAGTGGGGATGCAGGTGGCGGCCCAGAATCTTCTGGACTCCAGGGCCAGCCTCGGCAGTGCGGGGTTTCTGCCTTCCACGGTGGCCGGAAGATCTCGATCGAAACTGTCCTGTGCCTGTGGTTTGGTCCTCGCCCTGGGCCCAGTGGCCTCCAAGCCGGCTTCGTGGGGGCTTTTGGAGTTTGGCAACCTTCCTACTGTGCCCTTTAACCAGTCCTCTTTCTGCTTCTTGCTGGAGTGAGCTGGGCGGTTTCCTCCACATCGGCTCCTGCCTAGGGTTCTCCCCTAGGGAAGGGCACCCTGGGCACCTGACCCCTCAGCCGGATGCCCAGCAGACGTTCTCATGCTTCCACCGTCCTTGCCCTTCACGTCCGGCGGTCACTCCTTTCTGTCCCTTCCATGTTCTGCGTCTCTCTCTGCTATGGCCTGTCCTGAGTCTGCGCCACCACCCATTCTCCCTTGAATGAATGCAGTGGTCTTCCCGGGTCTCCCTGTCTCCATGGGGGCCACCAGCATTCGAGCCAGCTTCTTCCCTATGGCAGAGATGATCTTTCTCCGCCTCCTGCTTCTCTTTCCAGAGCTCCCAAGTCCCCAGGGTGCGCTCCAGCTGCTCAGAGAGGCCTCTAACGTTGGGTGATGCGGGCTCCACGGTCCTCC